CCCCCCCAATCAATCTTCAAAAAGTCTCTCCTTTTCCATGACTAGAGTGACGTGACTTTGACCAGATTCGGTCCAGAGCAGCATATGGCAAGGGAGATTACTCATATTTACAGAGAATGTGGTCTCCCTCGGAGGCCCATTGTAATGAATATTTAAAGTCCTTCTTCAGTATAATAAGAGAGGTTTCACAGAGGGGCAGTGCCAAAAAGGGGGAACATAGTATTAAATGTTTAAAATCCTTCACCTGTAGTTTGATTGGAGGAATTTTAACCAAATTTTGTGTAGAGGATCCTTGAGCAAAGGGGACAGAGGTGCGGGCCCAATATCGGAACTATAGGTTGATGTTTAAATATCCACCCTCAGTTCAATTTGAGGGATTATAACCAAATTTTGTGAACAACATCCTACAGTTGATCTTTCGGGGCAGAGGGGCAGACCCAAAAGGGGAAATGGAGGTAATGGTTAAAGTCCATCTCCATCTCAATTTAAAAGAGCAGAAAGAAGGGACCCAATGAGTGGTTGCTGAGAGACAGAGCCAGTATTTGGAAATAGTTGCAGTATCGTATTTAATAAGAATATTTGCAATTGGTTGCTAAATTATCCTGATGAGCGATACAAGCCCTGCGGGCCTCTTGTTCTTGTAGCTGAAACATTCACTTTATATATTAAACTAGATAGCTTAGTGATATGTTTATGTCAAAACGGAAACGGGTCCGGACCTGTTTTACAGTCAACCAGGAAATTCGCGGTGCTATTTTGATTATATTTTTTTTCTTGCAAAATTGAGTATGTATATTTTTCAATGGTAGAAGTATATCTTTTAAGCTCCATACCTCTCCAAAGTATAACAGAATCAGGGGTATCAGTGAATGTTTTGCGATCCTATATCATACATGTTATCTTTATTCCAACAGTGGCACCATTTCATACTTTTTCCACAACTATTCAATGTGTTAAGTGGGAAGTATGCACTACTAAGAGGGACTATTTCCTCCAATCAGGGGGACGAATCCGGACAGCAGATTTATAAGTTATGGGAACCAGAGGGACAATCCCTCCCAGAGAGGGAAAGTTGACATGTGAACACAATGTCACCCTCCATACAGAAGAGATATGAAACTGAATTGAATGTGAATGCAACATTTGACCTAATTTGAGAAATATAATTAACATCATATACTTTTTTGTAACATATTTAATTAACAATTTCTTATAAAACATAACAGCTTTGAAAACAGCATTTGCATTATCTGAAACATGTTTGTAATTACAGTACAGACACTCCCTAAATGAATGTCTTCATTTCCAGCAGGCTCCCTGTTTAAGACATTCTACATTTACACGCTGAACAGGCCGAGGATCAATAGAAATGTAAGGAGCGGACAAACTAATACCCAATATCAACCATTGAAGCATTTATGATCAGATACTATACATGTAGCTGCAATCTTGAACCCTTGAATTTGCAAGTTGATCTGTTAATATGCATTTTCTTTCCTATATATCACTTACATATAGTATCAACAATGTCGGCCCAATCAGACTCTATGTTATAACTGTTATTGTCTCGGCTTATCATATGCCTTGGTGGCAATCTCGTATTCTGAAATTGAAAAGTTGGCCTTTTGTTATAAATTTCCCCCTGTATGTATCGCTCGCAAAATCTATCAATAAAGCTGACCTATAGAACTCAAGTTATAAACGCTTATTGTCTCTGCTAATCAGAAGCCATTGTGGCTGTCTATAATCCAAACAATTAAAGTTGTCGATTTACAGAAAGGGCAATAACTCTTAAAAATAAAGTCAAAACCGAAATACAAATGTTAAGTATACAGTAATATGATGTACTGATCAGGCTTACAAAGTTTTGTTGAAATTGACTTATAAATTTAGGAATCTGTTTGCCAAGATAGACCGACTAACAATCTATTTACGGTATACCATCTCTACTTTTGTTGTGAGGGATAAAATGACAAGCTAGAGTGTATAACCAGAACATGCTTTAGTTGGAATTACCTAAAGCAATATGATACATAAAGAATTCTTCCCAGAATTCCATGAGCAGCCCGACAAATCCTGAACTACGGCTAGGATCTGTTGACCGTTATAACCATGGATGAGTATCTGTAAACATTTTGAAAGATCATTAATGCTTTGTTAAAGTCCCTTACCGTCATAACATATGACTTCTATTTGGAATTCCGTTAACACTTCGATGTACTACATTGTAGTATCACGATATCTTCAGGAATTACCTTGTTACTATGACATCTTTCTCCCACTCTTCACAGGCGTGTCTCCCTTTTAAGCCAGAAAAGATCAGCTTGTCACCCCCTAGGGGGAGATAGCCTCATAACAATAGTATGACATCAAGTCATCAATGCATTGAGGTCACGTCAACAGTAGCAGACCATGTAATACAACTCTGGATTTGCTGGAAAAACATGCAATCAGTGCTTATATTTCATGCAATCAACGCTTTCGGCGGATTTGTGAGTGAAACAGGATGGGAGAAAAATCAGATGCCTGATTTGAGGCTGTGACAGAGAAATCTCAAATCTTTGGGATGATATTCTTGATTGCCTTACCTAAAGCCTAGGGTAAGACAATCAGGAATATTATCCTTTGGGTTGGAGATTTCTCTGTCACACCCTCAAAGTAGGGGAAGATTTCATTATTCATTGAACATTCAATTACAGATACAGCATGATGTACCATCAGATTCACATTGACTTCTGTGATAGGTATGATCTCTGAAAAGTCTTACCAGGAGTTTTCTGATCAGTGTGACATAGATTGAATCTACTGACCTGTACAACCTAGATTGAATCTACTGACTGGTATGACCTCGATTGAATCTTTCGACAGGTATGACCTCGATTGAATCTACTAACTGGTATGACCTCGATTGATTCTACTGACTGGTATGACCTAGATTGATTCTACTGACTGGTATGACCTCGATTGAATCTACTGACCGGTATGATCTCGATTGAATCTACTGACTGGTATGACCTCGATTGAATCTACTGACTGGTATGACCTCGATTGAATCTACTGACTGGTATGACCTAGATTGAATCTACTGACTGGTATGACCTCGGTTGAATCTACTGACTGGTATGACCTAGATTAAATCTTTCGACAGGTATGACCTAGATTAAATCTTTCGATAGGTATGACCTAGATTAAATCTTTCGACAGGTATGACCTAGATGGAATCTTCTGACAAGTATAACCTTGACATTATCTGTTTTGACTGCTGGAATTGATACAGCCAATAGTTTTAATATTTATCGTATCATAACCATGCAGTAGACCATTGTTGACCACTTTACTATTGCACAACTGAAAACATGACATTGACATGGTCATCAGCAAAGTAACACGACCTTTAATTGACCTTTACAGTTTCATTTGACCTCCAGCTGTACTTTGATGTTAATGGCCGCCAGTTCTGCCACTAAGTATCGGAACACAAAAGGCACAGTGATAACGTTGATAGTGTCCGAGCGTTTACACAACATGCATGTCCATTTACGCCTCATTTCCGAGGTGAACGCCGCCACTGCCGTCACCGGCCGCTCCAACAGGGGAGATAACATACTACCACACTTTGTACAAACATGGACCTGCAACAGACAATTTTGTTCAGAAAATAAAATACCTAGGCAACACATTATTTCATAGTATAGCATTGTAAATGTATTGAAGTGCAACTAAATCTGACTGCAAGATACAATAAACATCTCTGAAAATCATATGTATTAACATTCCTTGAATTTAGAAATAGATTTTTTGTGTTTTTCTTCCCCCTAAAATACAAGTGCTAATTTTGTCTAATACATTTCTTTCTATCTACTATTGTTTACTTGACCTCATATCAATTGTTTTCACACCATTATTTATGACAACACAGGCAGCTTTCCTTTATCCTAGGGTGTGGACAGAGAAACTTCTTCCTGACATGATTGTGGTTGCTGCCCCTCACTTGGACAACATATAGTCACCACTTAGACAGGTGTCTTACAGAAAGGCTACAGTACCTACAGCTATTTGACAAGTTTATTAATGACCATCAGAACCCATAGCTTCTTCTTATTTAACAATATCATATATCTACTCACCATAGATTTATCAGAACAGTTAAGGAGGCGGTCCTGTAAGAGAAACGCTGTGCCATGAGCGATCATTCCATCTCTCTCCATCTCCCCAAATCTGATCCCTCCCCCACGCTTCCTGCCCTTCACTGGTTGGTGGGTCAACTGGTCAACAGGACCTGTAGATCTCACCTGAAATCAAGTGACATATATAAACAAACAAGTCCAATGACTGACCATGTCTCTAGATGCCGGTGTCAACTATAAAGTTAAACAAGGTTAAGGATGCTCAGGTTTTGAAGAAAATTACCTGCCAGTCAAAAAGTCACAAAACTGGTGTCTCTATTTTATTACAGGATGTCTCATTTCAACCATTTGTTTTTCTGTGTTACAGTTACCGTACCTGGAATTTGTCAGAAACCATGTGCCGTAGACGCTGGTAGTACACCACTCCTATGAAGATGTCGGCTTCTAACTCCAGTCCACTTGACCCGCTGTACATACGCTCTGTCCCATAGTAGTTATAGCCAGCTGTCAGTAAATAGGGAAAAAATAGTATTTGGCAGTTAACAGAATCTTTGTTACAGAAATATAGCTACAGCGGTATCTATTGACTACAACAATATATATAAACAGAAATTCTAATGTAATTATGAAGACTGCTGTATTATACAGCATTATTTTGATATTATGGGACTTGTTAACTATATAACGGCTCTTTACTTCAGTTTTATTATCTTTTTGGGGGGTTTGACTTGCAGAATGTCCAGGGTTTGTACCTTTAGTGAGGATATCTCCGAAGTAATCGATCGCTGGCTGGTCTTCAGAAAACTTGAATGGTGTAGCATCATGACAAAGGCCATGACTGGCCGCGGACTTACCCGCCATACTCTCTATCATCATACCTGGAAAAACCAGCAAATAAGGGTTGGGATATTTGCGTGTTCAAACTCAGCAAATTTGTGTACGCTTAAAATTTTCCTGTGGGTTCATGTTTATTCCATCTCGTAAATTAAACGTGTTACATATATATATATATAATATTCAACCAAGAGATAGATCTTCTCAATTAGAAAATGATTGAACTATGTCATTTTTGTATGAAATTCAAGGTCATAATTATGTTACATATTTCATACAAGAGGCCCAATGGGCCTGCATCGCTCACCTGTTATTAATCTAACACTTGTAATCTTAAGATTTCATAAGAACCTATTAAAAGATTTAAACATATGACACCTCTGACCATGATTGTCGAACAAGGACATTAGGTTGAAAGTGGATCAAGGTCATTCATTTGAACTAACATGGTAATCCTTCATCCCAGCATGCTACAGGCCCAATTTCAGTACCCTGGCCCTTTTGCTTATTGAAAAGAAGTCGCTTGAAGATTTTACGACATTTGACCCCTGTGACCTTGAAAGTTGGTCAAGGTCATTCAGTTGAACAAACTTGATAGTCCTTCATCCCAGCATGCTACAGGCCCAATATCAGTACCCTGGGCCTTTTGGTTATTGAGAAGAAGTTGTTTGAAGATTTTAAGACATCTGACCCCAGTGACCTTGAAAGTGGGTCAATGTCATTCATTTAAACAAACTTGGTAGCCCTTCATCCCAGCATGCTACAGGCCCAATATCAGTACCCTGGGCCTTTTGGTTATTGAGAAGAAGTCGTTTGAAGATTTTATGACATTTGACCCCTTTGACCTTTGAAAGTTGGTCAAGGTCATTCATTTGAACTAACTT